TGTCAAGTATTAATTTAATGGTTTCTGATTGAAGAACAACTCCAGAATGAATACAAACATGCTAACATGTAGCATCCATATTCTTCTTCACTTCTTCTGCGCATTCAGGGAGCATCAGGGCCACGGTGCGGACACAATCAAGTCAGATGATGCATTTCAAATATGTGAACAACCACGCAAAATAAATAAATAATTGATTGGATGAAAAAAATCAGAATTGGGCATTGGGTCTTGCAGTGTGACTGTAACCATAGCTACTTGTACTGGGTATAACAAGTTCTGATGAAATACAGTGATCAGCAGTTTCAATTAGTTTGACTCCATGTAAACAACTCCCTTGAATTGCCAAAAATTTCTTAGAGGTTTGACATGTTTTAGAGGGCTGAAAATAGTTCTGAAATGGGCCCTGCTTTGAGTAGCTGTAAACTTTTCTTTCTCGAAGTTCTGTTAAAAACCAAGCAAAGCAGAAACTGACAGCAACAGGCTCGAGGCTATAATAAAGCATTTAATAGCGTAGAAGTCCTCACTGACTTAGAACAGTCAGGGGAACATAAAGACACCTGCAAAGTAATGTGATCTTCATCTGGTAAGATTTTAAACCAATTACATTCTGTAACTGCTGCTAACTTGGAGGTTATGCAGGTACTTGTGACATTTTGCCCAATAAGACTCTTATTACCAAAAGGAAGAACGAGAGAGAAATTAAAAATATCAATCTAGTTGAGAGCATTTATTTCTCTCTACCTTTGACTCGGTCCATGTTAAGCCTGTGTCGAGGAAGGAAGAGGCCAATCTAATGATAGGACCAGGAGATAAAGCACAAACAACGCTGGCCAACAAAAAGAGGAAGAGGATGAAGATATGCTGAGACTAGATTAGCAGGAAATAAGGAGTGGATTAGTGAGAGCAGGCTCCTCTGAACACTTGAGATCTTTCAGTCTTCTCCCCCGTCAGTGTTGTGCTGCCTGACACTAAGCTCAGCTCTTTATCTTAATCCTCCTTTTCAGCAACTGCCGGTGGTGGGGCTCCTGCAGACAGGAAGTGGGGAGGCTGAATTAATTAGCCCAAGACAATTCTGGTTGATCTGCATCAAGACGACAAACACGATGGACACATAAAAAAGGAGCGTCTGAAATTGCTGCATCGGGTGAAGATAAATTCTCACCTTTTCCTCCAAGGACCCCAGAGGTAGATGATGGAGGATGAATGAACATGAACACGTGACAAATGTGTCGATTTCCCCCAATCCAGGGGAGTCTACGTTGTTTTATTTGAGTGTTTATTAATAGGTCAAGGGTCAGCCAAGCATCCTAGCATACAACATGTTACTCTTTAGTCTCTGCCTCGTTTCACGCTCTGGACATAAAAGGAAATACAACTGGAAAAATTGAAAACCAACGCACACACACACAAAAAAATATATTTACATACTGCATTATAAATATGTCAAATGTACATCATTATACACAAGTACCAAAGATGGTCAAGTTAATGTCAACAGAAGGACGTAAAAAATATGCCTAAAGAGAAACTAAAACAACATATCAAAATGTGGTTTATGGATCAAGGTGACCAAAACCAGTTCAGTTCATTTCTCCAGGAGGTTCTCACCTTTAGATAAAGGCATTAAGCTAATATTTACACTTCATAATGTATGTGGGTTCAAACGGGCAGGTTTTTTACGTTTTTTTTTCTTCTTCTTCCTGTCATCTACAGCAAGTAAATAAGGATTCAGGTCATCTCTGTACACATTTGAACTCTTCTGATATCCCACTGGACAATGAAATGTTCTCAGTGGTTGGTCAAGTAAAGATCAGAAATAAGGCTAATATCACAGTACAGTACGAGTCAATAAAAAAACGGGTTAAATTGGCTGCTTTTTGGGGGCTTCAAATAATTACCGTATTTTTCAGACTATAAGACGCAATTAAAATCCTTTATTTTCAAAACTTGACAGTGAGCCTTATAATCCGGTGCACCTTATGTATTAATTCAGTTTGTGCCTACTGACCTCGAAATTATTTTATGTGGTACACGGAGCTCAAAAATCAGTCAAAATGAACTTGTTTTGCTTAATGCGTCTTATAATCCGGTGTGCTTTATAGTCCGAAAAATACGGTAGTTAGCAAATTTTGCCTTTTCACCTTAATGTTGAAAGTTAAATGAGGTTGATTTGACTGTTTCGCCTGAGTGCAGACATCGGTTTTACATTCTACTAATTAACATGTAAAAAAAAAAAAAAAGCCAAATCACAATTTAGCTGCACAAACACAGACATGAGAGCCATCAATCAGCGCAACTAATGTGAAAGGCTGAAAAAGTTTGGCACTTCTGGGCCAAAATGTAACAAGAAAAGTTGGACATGTTGCTCGAAGGGGCTCCTCATCCTTTTGGCTCCACTTCAGGATGTAGAGCAGGGCTATTCAACTGGTGGCCTGGGGGCCAAATCAGGCCCAGTGATTAACTCAGTTCGGCCCACCAATGGGTTCATTTTAAATAAAACTACAATTTAAACCATAAAACAAACACTTAATGACAATAACTGCTGGATGTCCGACCCCTGAGCAATTTAGTTGCGTAGCCCTGATGTAGAAGGTGATAGGAGAGCCAATCGTGTTCTTTTATAGAAAGATTTAAAAAGAGTTTTAAAAAAATCAAGCATACACGACTTACTTAAGTTAAAGGCTGAACATCTTGCAGGAAAAGTTACATCTTTGGCAACAAATTTGTGAAGTGACCTAAAAAGAAAAATGTAGTAAATAAAACATTTTTTGCTGCAAACTCCATTTTGTAGTTACTGGAAATTCTTTCAAGTAGATTACATGCGAAGACAGGAAGCAAAGTTTCTGCTTTCAGAAGCCAAAGCCGTGTTTACTTATGTTTTTGTGTCGTGTATAAAATGTTTGGCTGTTTATTGAGTCAGAGAGGACGGGCTGCAGGAGAGGCAAGTATATTTGGTACCACATTACAAAAGTTCACTTATAAAGAATTTATTAATGGTTTATAAATAAGTTATTCATGAGCTTGTAAACACTTTATAAAGCATTAACAATAACTTATAAAACAGTGATAAAACATGGTTTGTATGTTGAAACAGTCTCACTAATAGGACAGATCTGCACTTATATTCATTCAGAAAAACGTATTTGCATAATTAATAAATGAATATTACTGCTCAGCTTACTTTAAATAACTTTGTCAAACCAAATTTTGTACCAGCAGATGCTCATAGTGCTTACATGCACAAAACTTACTGACAAACGTTAATAAATTATGAAAAATAAACAGTAAGCCTGCTTCAATGTGTGAACAATGTTCAATATTTGATAGCTGATACTTCATAAAGTGTTAACAAACTCGTGAAATACTTATAACGCAATATTAAATCTTTATGAAGTGCCCCTTATTAGATTTTATTCAGATTTTTGCCCCTCCATCTTTTAAAAGACCAATAAAAGTCAAACTACTCCTTCACAGTAACGCCGCTTCCTCTTTAAACAACATATTCATTTTTAGTTGTAAACAGAAAACCATGTAAAAAAAACAAACAAAAAAAAAACTACAAAATAATAAGTACCACATAATTAATTGTTGAGTAAACAAAAAAAAAATCTGCCTTTGTAAACAAAGAAAGTCCAGATGTTTAAAACCTTACAACTAGTTGAAAACTCTACCGGAAGTCTTTTTCGTATTCGGATTAATAATCAAAAAGAGGGAAGTGGCTGATCGTGTCTGTGGAATACTGTACATTTATATAAATAAAAACTTATACCTCCTTCTATAAATATCTTGTGACCGAAATCCCTTTTAGAGCCTGTTTTTCAGTCACACACACAAAAAAAAAGTTTTCTGTACTCCCTGCTCTCAGACATTTTCTCAGGACGGGAAAGCCTTAAGGAAAAGAAAACAGCTATTTTATATCGACTAAACGTCTGATGACTGTTCTAATAAGGAATAAGGCAAAGGAACATGAACTACTTTTCTTTTTACAGAAATCTATACAATAAAACAGTTATGTTCCCAAATCTTCACTGTAGGTTTTTGTCTCTAGTGTCCTTTAAAAACAAAAATGCCCCGGCGCTCACTGCTGCGTACATTTACAGATGCAGATGGAACGTATTGTACAATTACGTCCAAACACACCCAGACACACAGACACACACACACACACACACACACACACACACACACACACACACACAGACAGTACCACATATGCATTTCATAGTAACAACATCAGAAATGAGCTTTAAAGTACCAGCTTTACATCTCTCAGCCACAGGACGAGCTTTTGGTTTGAACTTTACAGAATCTGTGAAACAATTACCACTGCAATCCATTCAGTCCTAAAATTATTCCAACAAAGAGAACCTAATGGTAGAATTTCGTAGCTGAAATCAAACCTTTGAATCTGAATGAATTCTGATTGAAGAGGCACGCTTACGAAGCCACGTGGCTCAACAGTCGTAAAACATTATGTGTTCTAATTCCCTCATAGTCGCCGACACTTTTCCTGAAGGATTGGGGCAAAGAACACAGCTCACTTTCAGCCAATAGGAACTCTGCAATCAGCTCCTTTATGACAATCGGAATCCATTTAGCTGTGAATTAAGTGTCTAAATCATTTGGCCTCTTTAACTATAATTGCTTTGCCTTTGTGTATGAATAACGCATCACAAGTTTGATGGCTGTGTTGGAGACATGCATCATTATGGAAGCCGCAGCAGCCATTGCTGTCGTCAGAGATGTTCAGTTCAGCTACTCTTTAGAGTTTTGTTAATCTGCTTAGACGCGAAACAAGAAGTTTTTCACTCAACGCAAGTTGAATTCACATGACAAAAAGGGGAAGACATAATAGGAAATGTTCAAACATTAAGGAAATGCTTTTTTTTTTTAAGGTATGAATGCCAGAAGGAAGTCAACATTTGTTTGGTTGATGCTTATAAATAAAATAAAATAAAAACACAAAAGCTTAAAGCTAATTCTGATCATCTCAGACCAAGACTGAATAAAGTTAACAAACAAAATGAACAATATTTTAAAAAGCAATCTCCGAATCCAAACTTGCAGCGTAGTGAAATGTGAACTGTAAGTCGCTCGCTCCTGATGCGTCTCCGTTTGTACAGATTCTGGTTTGCACAGTGTGAAACAGGAAGGAGGAAGAAGAGACACAGCTGGGGGTTCTTTTGTGTGTTTCTGTCCGCAGTGGCGATCTGGCTTCTACATGATGCTGATGCTGCGGTTGAGATCACACTGGGCGTTGTTGTTGTTGATGTTGGGGTTGCGGAGGCTGACGTTGGCCGTGGACGCCGAGGTCAGGCTGCTGGAGTCGTTGGGGCAGCCATGTTGGAGTAAAATGTCAACGCACTCCTGGCTTCCGGCTCGCCGGGCGTAAGACAGAGGCGTCTGGCCACGGGCGTCTCGGCTTTTCACATCCACACCGTACTGTGGGAAAGATCAATACAAACATTATAACCTGTGAAGAATTTAAATTAATTTGAAGTATACAGTAGTCCCTCGTTACTTCGCAGCTCGTTTATCGCGGATTCGCTCTAGCGTGGTTTTTCAAAGTAAGATTGGACATGACACACAACTGGCTGATTGATGGATGAGCCGCACAATCGGCACGGAATTTTTATTTAAAATAAATTATTTTTAATTATTTAGCACCTGCTGCAACTTTGTGCAACCCACAAATGTAGAAAAAGGTTCCTCCTGCACCTCGGTGCAGCTTAAACTGCAGGATAAACTTCCTCCTGCAGCTGAACAGCTGATCTGCGTGCAGAACGGATAAGTGGGCGTGGCCAAGAACGCTTGCAGGCAGCTGAGAGCAGCGGAGGCACAGAGAGGGAAGTCATGACATTCTGTGCTCTTTTAGAGCGTTTAGAAATATTGTTTAAAATATTGCAAGTGTTGGAAGTGTTTTAAAACACACAATATATACAAAGTATATATATATATATATATATATATATATATATCTATGTATGTGTGT